GTGAGACAAGGGTGAAAGTTCAAGCAAACTTACAGAGTTTAGCAGTTGTTTAGCTGTTGTAGGCTGTTGTGGGCTGGATGTATGGCACTGTAGTGTGAAGTGTGCCGCCTCTGCTTAGTCCTATACCACTGTGCTGGTAAAAATGTGCATTCTGTATTGAAATATATTAAGGGGAACACGTACCGGCTTTCTTGATTCCCAAGGTTAAGGTGGCGAGAGGATGTTGCTTTAGTGAAAATTGGAACAACGTAACAGAAAACCAATCCAATTATCTTGTAGCATTGTTAGGTGTCATTGTCCTCTGTACACTTCCGCGCCAATTTTTGGGTTGCGAAGCAACCTATTACAATCGTTATATACAATTTTTTTTTTCAATCCTCAATACCTTTAAAAAATAGAGGGAAAAAATATAGTGAACGGTACTAGCTAAATGACTGACTGCTATGTATTCTCAGAATCCCAACCACTAGACCATTGGGATAAAGGGCTTGTTTCAGTAGCGGGTCAGTGCGCCCATAACCCCCCAGGCAAATGTGCCTGTAACCCTTCCCTAGGATCGATCGGGGATCACCAGTGGACCTCTGACACCCCCCCGCACTGGGATGCCCGAAGTGCATACACCGGGATTCGAACCCGAGACCTTCGCTCTGATACCATCTCAGAATCCCAACCACTAGACCATTGGGATAAAGGGCTTGTTTCAGTAGCGGGTCAGTGCGCCCATAACCCCCCAGGCAAATGTGCCTGTAACCCTTCCCTAGGATCGATCGGGGATCACCAGTGGACCTCTGACATGTATCTGCCGCGTCAATTTACCACGTGCTGAACCACATTCCTTCTTATTTCCTAGTTTACTTTGACTGAACCTATATTTCATGAGTTGCCAAAATGATGTACTGTGAATGCATAACTGTTTATTCCGTGATGCATATGTCTGCTCTTGTTATAAGTAGATGAAGTAAATGCAAATGCGTAAGTATAATGCATATACGGTACTACCGGTACCGTAATGAAATAAATGCACAGCATGATGGAAGTGCGTAACAGTTAATTGACGCAGACCCTATGCTACCGCATCCCCTGCCTAGCATGGGGGGGAGCTCAATAGCATAATTTCTGAATCATCCAACTGTTACATGAAACAACACAATCTGTGTGATATAAAAAACAGGTCAATTCCATCAAATCCAGTTCGAATGGACACACTCACTGAGTGCGCAAAGAACCTTCTCGGAAATGATAGTTTGATCCCAATTTTTAAACCCCACAGACATGTGTTATTAATGCAATGGAAACATGAATGAAAACGCATACGCACACAACACAACGCATACACATGATCATAGACATTCACACAGACATGCACGCACGAAGCCAACTGACAAAGCATATTAACCGCATATGAAATAGAAACCTAAATCACCAAGACATTATGTATCCTATACTGTAAGTCACAAGAAATATCAGTCTACTTCTCATATTGAGCTCGACTGCCTGAAAAGTAAGACAAAGCTGGGTTGAGGAAGGGAAGGCAAATGGGAAATAGCAAGGCATAATGAAATTACAAGAAAAAGGAATAATGAAGAAACAAATGAAACAATACAAGGGCCAAGAAAAACGCCATGAGCATTGAAGGGTTAGAGCTGACAAATAACAAGGAGAAAATGTACTAAGGCATAAAACGAAAGTAAAGAACGAGAACAAAGGGAAAAACACATGACCAGACAGTAAACGAACGAAGAGAATATAACAAATACGTTGAGCGAGAACAACGGAGACCGAGAGCGAGAGCGAGAGCGAGAGAGAGAGAGAGAGAGAGAGAGAGAGAGGAGAGAGAGAGAGAGAGAGAGAGAGAGAGAGAGAGAGAGAGAGAGAGAGAGAGAGAGAGAGAGAGAGGACGAGAGAGCGAGAACGAGAGAGTGGACGAACGAGAGATTTGAGAAAAGAGAACGAGAGAACGACAGAGACGGAACGAGAGAGAGAGAGAGAGAGAGAGAGAGAGAGAGAGAGAGAGAGAGAGAGAGAGGAGAGAGAGAGAGAGAGAGAGAGAGAGAGAACGAGAGAGAGAACGAGAGAGAGGGAATAAGAGAGAGGGAGAACGAAACATAGAGAGAGAGAGAGAGAGAGAGAGAGAGAGAGAGAGAGAGAGAGAGAGAGAGAGAGAGAGAGAGAGAGAGAGAGAGAGAGAGAGAAAGAAAGAGAGAGAGAGAGAACGAGAGAGAGAGAGAGAGAGAGAGAGAGAGAGAGAGAGAGAGAGAGAGAGAGAGAGAGAGAGAGAGAGAGAACGAGAGAGAAAGAAAACGAGAGAGAACGAGAAAGAGAACGAGAGAGAGAACGAGAGAGAGAGAGAGAAAACGATAGAGAGAGAACGGGAGAGAGAGAACGGGAGAGAGAGAACGGGAGAGAGAGAACGGGAGAGAGAGAACGAGCGAGAGAGAACGGGAGAGAGAATGGGAGAGAGAGAACGAGCGAGAGAGAACGGGAGAGAGAGAACGGGAGAGAGAGAACGGGAGAGAGAGAACGGGAGAGAGAGAACGAGCGAGAGAGAACGAAATGGACTGAACATGCAACCTATTACAATCTTTATGTACAACCTAAGACGAGGTTGAGAAAAAAAATGAACTAAAACTTGCAAATATGAAGAAAAGGCAACCGACGAGAGGAAAAGTTTAAGGATGAAGAATAGAAGAAACAGATGCAAGCTTATGCAGGAAGGAGAACCTGAAATCTTTACAAAGGGCCGACAACCTAAGTTTAAACAACTAAGTCTCGCTAATACTCATCCATTTACACGGCTAGGATACGGAATGACTAAATGTTAGTCTATCTAATAGGCATCTAATTTAGTTGGAGTTAAAGTTGAGGGATCTTCTTACCTAAGTTGCAGTTAGAGTAGGTGGAGAACTTGGTAGAGCGTGACGAGCGAGGAGAAGCGGGAGAAAAGAAGGGCGACCAAACCCTAAGGTAGTCTCACATTCGTCGCAGTTTTTGTATGTCTAAATAATTCAGCTATTCGAGGCAAACATCTGTGCTTTAGCAGTGGTACAAGGCTTGGAGTGGAATCGAAAGGTCCTTGGTTCGAATTCATTCGCGCTGTACATTTGACCTTTTCCTGGTGAGAGGAAGTACCACTTAGTGTCATACTACAGCATTATGTACAGAATTAGAAGTTGTACAAATTTATATAATTACGCAAAACGCTTCGCAACCCTAAGACGAATTCGTCGCCTCTTGTTTTTATCTTGTGACAGAAGTGGAGGTGATTTTCGAATTGAATTGCCTGCCGTAACTCTAGAGTCGATCACTATCACAATCCCTCCGCTCCGCACCCGCCGCCCCGCACTACCCGTTCGGGCAGGCGAGCATTTGGTGTTGCCGACCGAGCTTGCACTTCCACGGAGTAGCCTACCGTATTACCCCGGATATAAGCGCACCTGCGCTTATAATAAAACAGTGTTTTTTAGGGGGTGCGCTTATAATTGAGTCAAAATTATAAGCGCATGCGCTTATATAACGGCAAATACATAGTTATGATTTAAAGCACCAAATTGTGCATCCCAGTACAGTTGTATTTTCAATCAAATCGAAATGGGCATCAGAATCGTGCGAGGGCGATTTTCTGTCGGCGCACAGGGGCAAGGACACGTCAAGCTTGCCCCGGCCCTGTGTATGAGCCAATCACATTCAGTCGCTGGCTCAGTGCACAGCACCCACGGCTGTGCTGTCAGTCAGCTTCGCCCCAGGCCAGCATATGAGCCACTCGCGTGCAGTCGTTCGCTCGCAGCGCACAGGCACTGTCCCTTTTTCCACCCCCCCCCCCCCCCCCCCCCCCCCCCTCACTCCCTCGCCCCGAAAGGGCTGTCAGTCAACGGCTTCGCAAGGTTCCACCTTTCCTGATCGAATTGCCCGTGCTCAAGAGAGTCAACCGAAGTACGGTAGAAATGGATGTGGGAGGACTCGCTGCAAAATAGGGAATCGTTACCGTTTTAATCATGATTTAAAATAAAACTTGTACATGCGCTTATAATAAATCAAGGTTTTACAAGGGGTGCGCTTATAATTGAGGATCGGCCATAAGCGCATTGCTCCAGATACAAGCGCATGCGCCTTTAATAGGCCTGCGCTTACCGTCATACCCCGGATATAAGCGCCACCCGCGGATAAGCGCCTGGCGCTTTTAATTGGCGTGTGGCGCTTATATCCGGTGCTCGATTATAAGCGCACCCCCTGAAGGCTTACGTATTATAAGAGCCACCATTTGTATTAGTTTTTATAAAGTTACTGGAATCTCTGTAGCGAAACACACTATTTGCATCCTCACTTGATAAAATTTCGACCCTTCACCCTCGCGCGACTCATTGCCCCACCCTCGCGCGACTCATTTGAATGCGCGTCCAGTCAGAATTAGCTGTCATGGGGCGAAATGACTCATTCTGACTGTGTGTATTGGCAGTTTGCAAACTTACGCGAGATTCTTCTTCACACCCACTATGATCTTGACTCGATTGAAATCGCAATGACAAGATGAACATTTTGAAGTGAAAACAACTAGATTTCATATATGTCATTGTATAAGCCCCGGCGCTTATAAAATTACTATATTATAAGCCCACCCCCTAAAAAAAACACGCTTTATTAGTGCCCCCCATGGGGGTATATCCGGGGTATGACGGTATATCCGGGGCCATACGGTATCCGCTGCCATCTTGCGCGTTCATTCGCATTCACATTTGAACTTGGTTGACTACGTTCTGTGTGGTTACTCCTGTTGCGTCACGGTGCGAAACGGTGAAGCCTGATAACCGATGTGCACCGTCTTGTGCCACGACTGATGAACCGCAAACGAACGCGCAGGACCCGCCGTGAATTGCGTTTGCCGAGCCAGCACAACACGCGGTAGCCTATCAGCTGCCATCTTGCGCGTTTGCAAAGCAAACTCGGTTCATAGATAATTAACGGCGCTAGTTACTGGCCAGCAGCTAATCCCCATGTGTCCCCACATGTTCCCACCTCATATCCCCATGTGTCCCCACGTGTTCCAACCTCATATCCCCATGTGTCCCCACGTGTTCCCACCTCATATCCCCATGTGTCCCCACGTGTTCCCACCTCATATCCCCAGGTGTCCCCACGTGTTCCCACCTCATATCCCCACGTGTCCCCACGTGTTCCCACCTCATATCCCCACGTGTCCCCACATGTTCCCACCTCATATCCCCACGTGTCCCCACGTGTTCCCACCTCATATCTCCACGTGTCCCCACGTGTTCCCACCTCATATCCCCACGTGTCCCCACGTGTTCCCACCTCATATCCCCACGTGTCCCCACGTGTTCCCACCTCATATCCCCACGTGTCCCCACGTGTTCCCACCTCATATCCCCATGTGTCCCCACGTGTTCCCACCTCGTATCCCCATGTTTTATCATGTGTCTCCATGCATCCCCACGTGTCCCCATGTATCCCCACGTGTCCCCACCATTCTCCACATATCCTCACATGTCCCCATTCATCCCCACGTTTCTCCATATATCCCCACGTGTTCCCATGTATCCCCACGTGTCCCCACCATTCTCCACATATATTCACATGTCCCCATTCATCCCCACGTTTCTCCACGTATCCACAGCCGAGAAGATGGTGAGGGAAAGCAGGCAGAGGAGACAGAGCACCATGCCGTGAGGTGCGTCAATAGGGGCCTAAAACCTTATCTCAATTCACAGTGTGCCTGAGGTGGTAGAGGGGCACCTTGTAAAATGCTAAGATCTGTTTTTTTTTTAGTCTTGCTAGAACAGGTTCGAACCCATCCCTTTCGCACGCGGTCTACCTGAAGGCCGTCAAAGCGTTCCTTGGGAATACCGCCATTGGTGAGGGAGAGCAGGCAGAGGAGACGCAACATCGCGCTTTGATACGCCTCAAAAGGCGCCTCAGGCCTCATCTCGATTCACACGGTGTACCTGAGGTGGTCGAAGCGTGCCTTGGGAATGCCGCCATTGGTGAGGGAGACAAGGGAGAGGAGGCGTAACACTGTGCTCATGGGATGTCCCTGTGCCATGGCGTCCTCTATGTACTCACGCGCCCTACAGTCACCCACGTGGATGCATGTACACACATACAAGTGCAAGGTAGACAAGGGAGAGAAGACACAGCACCGTGCTCATGGGACGTTCCTCTGACACACAAAGCACTCGACGGAGCGTCATACGAGTCATTTTTTGAGGTGACTCAAAACTCACCTCAATGTACTCGCACACGCTGCAGTCACAAGTGCATGTGCACAAAGGAGTATATACGTGGCTCAGCACCAGCACCACACACGATGGAGCATGTGCACTGGATGCAGCATGCACACTGGATGGAGCATGTGCACTGGATGGAGCATGTGCACTGGATGGAGCATGTGCACTGGATGGAGCACCACACGAGTCATGCACGTACGAGTCGATGGACCGTGCTTCAAGAATGGCCTGCTCCGTGGAGATCAGAGCGCCAAAGGCAGGCCGGTTGGTCACCTGTTGGTCACCTGCGATATGTGCCCTGCTAGGTTTGTGTGACGCTGGGGGGGAGCATAGGGGGCAAGATGGGAGATGGAAAGGATGAGAAGAGAAGAAGAAAGAAAAAAAGAGAGAGAGAGAGGAGAGGTAAGAAGAACAGAGTAGCACAAGGTCAACATAGCAATGATTTTACCAAGATCAAATAAAAACACCACATTCATATTGAGGGACAGTGTTGGCAAAAGCTCGCACACAATGTTGCAATATTGAGGGTTAAGCCTCTACCGTCTAAAAGCAAGTGGTCGAAGAAAGGAAGAATGATCTCAGATCTCATCTCACTGTAAGTTCTAGCAGCACGTTGAATTTCTTGACCAAGTCCTTGAGCTTCGATACTGTCTGAGAGAATGAAGATTAATCATGTGCAACAACGTGTGTTGAGACATAGAAAGGAAAAGAGGAAAGAGGCGAGCATCGCTTCTTGAAAACGTCCTTAAGCTCTGATACCTTGTGAGAGCAACAGGTGCAGCAGGTGGTGAGACACAAAAAAGGAGAGAGGGAAAGAGTGAACGAGGAAAAGAGGAGGACAACGTTTCTTGGCAAAGTCCATCACCTAGGGCACTGTCTGAGTGGAATAAGTGCAAGAGGTCATGGGCGACAGGTGCAAGACTTACAACAATAAAAACAGTGGGAGGAAAAGAGGAGGACAACGAGGTATGAGTGTTTGAGCACGAGAATTGTCATGGCAACGATCTGGAGCAATGAACTATGGCTGGCTAGCACCGTCTGATCTGATCCGATGGGTGCAAAAGGTGCACACGAGTGGTGGAGGCAGCAGCAGCAGCAACAGACCATCATCATGACCTCACCTGCTCTCCCCCGCCAACGCCAGCAGCAGAGGCAGCTGATTGGTCACCCGGAGCAGCGGAGTGCAGTGGCGATGCGTCTCTCTGCAGCCTCTGCCTGAAGTTGGCAAACTCTGACTTCACCTCCACTGCCTTGGCTCGCAGGAGCTGAGGAGGAGAGCAGAGAGAACAGAGGGAACAGAGGGATGTGATGTGATGTGATGTGGTGTGGTGGGTGCGATGCGGTGGGATGGGATGGAATGGGATGTGATGCGATGTGGTGTGGTGTGGTGTGATGTGGTTCTATGCAATGTGATACAATGTGAAGCACCTCACCTTTGCTGCTGATCCAAAGTTGCGGCCTCTAAGGTCCTGAAACAGCTTGTCACTTCGAAGAGCCGGGTGAGGTGAGGAGGGCGAGGAAGGTAATATCATATGAAGCATTTAAGCTTTCACAACTTGCTCAATTACTGTTGAGCTGACTCACAGAAGGAGCAGAGAAGGACGGAAGCACACAAAGAAAAGGCGCAAGGGATCTCCATTCTGTCTGAACATCCTTATTTTCCAGACATGCTGAGGACCATATTTTCCAGACATGCTGAGGACCATATTTTCCAGACATGCTGAGGACCATATTTTCCATGATCCTCTCAGCTGACTTTTTAGTCGACTCAAAAGTCAGCGCAAGGTTCTCCATTCTGTCTGAACCATATTTTCCATGATCCTCTCAGTATGGAGCATCAATACAGGTATATAACATGCTTTTCTTACCCTCATGCCTTCTCGCCATTCTATCCCAAAATCGGACAGCGTTAGAAAAAATGCACATACGCATCTCGTCTATTCTACACTCTCACACTTTCAATCCACAGCCCCTCGCTCCCTCACTCACTTGGAGTTGAGAGGCACTTTGATCTTCCTGGCGTTAGACTTCACCCTCATCACTGCCGAACAACATTTTCGTGTTGTGGCCAACCCACATACTCCTTTATTCTAAACAGTTCTCTACTCTTGGCCCCTCCTGCCCTCTCACTCACTTGGAGTTGAGAGGCACTTTGATCTTCCTGGCGTTAGACTTCACCCCCATGACTGCCGGATCCACCTCCACTGCCCTGTTTGCTACGTGCAGCAGCTGGGTGGGTGAAGGAGAGGGGAAGGAGAGGCAAACATGAGAGAGGGGAAGGAGAGGGGAAGGAGAGGCGAACATGAGAGAGGGGAAGGAGAGGGGAACATTAGAGGGCAGAGGAAAGCATTGCAAAGAAGAAATTCCCCATGACTGCCGGGTCCACCTCCACTGCTCCATTTGCTACGTGCAGCAGCTGCGTTGAAGGGAGGGGGAGGGGGAGAGGAGAGATGAGAGATGAATCGATGGGACAGCAAGAGTGATGATTTAATCACAGAAGAGGCGTGTTAACTTCTCCCCATGACAAGGCGACTTTCCATGACTGCCGGATCCACCTTCACTGCTCCGTTTGCTACGTGCAGGATCTGCGTGGAAAGGGAGAGAGAGGGAAGAACAGAGTTCGAGGGAAGAGAAAGGCTTTGCAGGCAGAAGAGGCACGACGAGGCATCTCCCTCCCCTTTCCATGACTTTTCGGGCGCCTCAAAAGTCATCTCCCTCCCCTTTCCATGACTTTTCAGGCGCCTCAAAAGTCATCTCCCTCCCCTTTCCATGACTTTTCACGCGCCTCAAAAGTCATCTCCCTCCCCTTTCCATGACTTTTCACGCGCCTCAAAAGTCATCTCCCTCCCCTTTCCATGACTACACGATCTGCCTCCACTGCTCCGTTCATTATGTGCAGGAGCTGGGTGGGGGAGAGGGAGGAGAGATGAATTGACGCGTTACAGAGGCGCATTAAAGAGGTAGATGCGCGTTAGGATGCTTCCACGAGATGCCTTAAGGAGTGATTTTCCATGAGTGCCAGACCCTCCTCCCCTGCTGTGCTTGCTGTGTGCAGAAGCTGGGTGGAGGAGAGGTGGGGAAGGAAAGAGTACAAGGCTGAGACGGACATAGAGAGCAGAAGAGGCGCAATGTAGGGGCAAGCCCCATGACTGCCAGACCCTCCTTCCCTGCTGTGCTTGCTATGTGCAGAAGCTGGGTGGAGGAGAGATGGAGAGGAGAGAGACGAGAGATGGCTGGACGGCAGAGAGAAGGATGCTGACATCATCTATCAATGCATGCTGGCATCATCTATCAATGCATGCTGACATCATCTATCAATGCATGCTGACATCATCTATCAATGCATGCTGACATCATCTTTCAAGGTGTGCTGACGTCATCTATCAAGGTGTGCTGACGTCATCTATCAAGGAATGCTGACCTCATCGAACAGCCCTTCGTATGTGAGCTGCGTGCATGCTGGCGTCACCATGTCCACCTGTCGGTCTATCAGCACCATCATGTCCACGCTTGGATGCTCCACCTGCCACCACCACTCCACACCACACCGCACCACCCCACACCGAACCGCTCCCCTCCACACCGCACCGCTCCACCCCACACCGCAGCGCCCCACATCACACCACTCCACCACGCCACAAGACATTCCACACTCCAGTAAATTGTTCAGCCCACTGGGCTGAAGCAAACGAGAAACAAACTCGAGGAAACTCAAGAGCCAGGTTACACGAGTCCCAGAAACTAGAGCAACAAGCTAAGTAGGCTGTCTAGCCTACGATGCCTTTTGAGTCGCCTCAAATAACACCTCCTACCGGTGCCATGTGGGATTTCTGTTCCTTCATGAGTTGACTCAAGGCCTGTGCCACTCGCTGCGCTGCCACGCCCTTGCCCTTCAGCACTGGTGGCACGCCAAACACGGAAGACAGGGCGAGGAAAATGACCTGGAATCAAGAGAATGAAAAGCAGTGATCAATCAAGAGAAGCACAGGAATCAAGCGAGAGGCATTGGGAATGGCATCCCGGCTATGTGCTGTGCACATCAGTTGGCATTTTTTAGGCGCCTCAACAAGCGAAGCACAGGAATCAAGCGAGAGGCATTAAGAATGGCATCCTGGCTAAGTGCTGTGCACATCAGTTGGCATCCCAGCCATGAAAGAACATAGGAGTGAGTTACGACAGCCGCAATGACCTGTCAACGCCGGGATTATCACCATCAGCAGCTAGAATTGCCACCTTCAACGGCTGAGATCGTCACCTGGAAATTAACTGGAAATTAGCCAGCACTCGCGCCACTTGCAAAGTGGAGGTGGGGTCTGAGTCCACGTGTACATCCTGGATTGGATTGGTCAGAGGGGAGGGAAGTGGGGTGGGAGGTGAGAGAGATGGAAAGGTGAGAGAAGGTAAAGGAGAGGAGAGGCGGGGTCTGAGTCCAGGTATATGTCCTGGATTGGATTAGTGCAGTTCAGAACAAGAAGGGGCAGGGGGGCGGGGAGGGGTGGGGGGAGAGAGGGGTGGGGAAGAGATTGGAAAGGTAAGGGAACACTAAAAAGGGTAGGGTGGGAGATATGGAATGGTGCGGGAAAGGTAAAGCAGAGGTGGGGTTTTAAGTCCTTATGCACTTATTGATCGAATCGGCCAGGAGGGAGAGGGAAAGAGATGGGAAGGTGAGTGGTAAAGCAGTGGAGGTGGCGGTAGTAGAGTCCACGCTCACGTTCTGGCTTGATATTCCGAGTTTTGAGTCGAATATCAACACAGGACGTCCTGAGTCGACTCAAAACTCGACTTATCGCAGTGGAGGTGGGGATAGTAGAGTCCACGTTCACGTCCTGGATTGATCAGACGTAGGGGGAGGTGGGCTTGGGAGGGGTGTGGGAGAGATGGAAAGGTGAGAGAAGGGTAACGTAGTGGTGTGGTTTGAGTGCACGTGCACGTCCTGAATTGGATTGGTGCAGTTCAGAATCACCTCGCCTTATAACGGGTACTGGAATCACCTTATAGAGGGTATGGAGGTCGAGTGCAAGGAGGTCATGGTCCACGGGGATCATCTCGAGGGGATATTCGCCCACTGCCATCTTGCTCCAGAATCGGCATATAAAGGGGACAACAATCACTTTATAAAGACTAAAGAATTATCTTATAGAGGGTATGGAGGTCCAGTGCGAGCAGGTCATGGTCCACAGGGATTATCTCGAGGGGATAATCTCCCACTGCCACCCGCGGGTCATCCACCTGCTCCAGAATCACCTTATAAAGGGTACGGGAGTCACCTTAAAAAGGGTATGGAGGTCCAGAGCAAGCAGGTCATGGTCCACGGGGATCATCTCGAGGGGATACTCGCCCACTGCCACCTGCGTGTCATCCACCAACCCCTCCTGCTCCAGAATCTGCAGTGGATGTGTTGTGTGTGGTGTGTGGTTTGTGATGTGTGGTGTGTGGTGTGTGGTTTGTGGTTTGTGATGTGTGGTGTGTGGTGTGTGGTTTGTGGTGTGTGGTTTGTGATGTGTAGTGTGTGGTGTGTGGTTTGTGGTTTGTGATGTGTGGTGTGTGGTGTGTGGTGTGGGGCGAAAAGAAATAGACACAGGTCACAACAGTGTTCCTTTTGAGGCGACTCAATCAAAGGTTGTCCACGAGCCCTTCTGTTTCAGAATCTGCGGATGTATGGTGCGTGGGGTGCAACAGTAGACGTACCCTTGGATGCACAGACAACAGGCACACTTTTGAGGCACCTTGCATGCACAAACCCTAACCCTCCACCTTCCCTACCCCCAAGCCCAACACACAGACAATGTTTTCATACATACCCTGTTACAGATCGCATCACATCTGGGAATGAAGTGGAGTGAGTAGCTGCGAGTGACGCCCTCGTCCTCGTCTGCTCGCACCTGGTGGGATTGACGGCATTCCGAAGGGGGGAAGGAGTAGAAGGGATGTAAAAACGAAAGGGGAAGAAGGTTGAATGAAGGGCCTACACAAGCGCAGAGAGCAGGACCTAGTCTGCACGCGTTAGTGAGCGCTGTGCTTGTGTAGGCACCTGGTGGAGCGTGGCATGTGGGGAGAAGACAAGACTGCAAACAAGAGTGCAAAAATGGAAGGGGCGGGGGTAGACTGCAGAGGTAGAGTGTGGTCTGAGCAGGTACCAATAAAATGTGGTAGCCGGAAGTACCTCGTACCTGGCATGTGATCCAGCGAATGAGGAGTGGATTGGGTCACAGCAGGTAGAGAACGGTACCAAACGGTACTAGAAGAATGCAGTAAGATACTTAGTGGCTGTACCTGGCGTGTGATCCAGCGAATGAGGAGTGGGTTGGGTCACAGCAGGTAGAGAACGGTACCAAGCGGTACTAGTAGAATGCAGTAGGATACAAAGTGGCTGTACTTGGCGTGTGATCCAGCGAATGAGAAGCGGATTGGGGCGCAGGAGGTAGAGGATGGTGGAGCACTGTGATTGGATGGGTTCGGCGCTGATGTGGAACAGGTTCTCCACTCCGTGTTCCTGTAACGAGCAGAAGAAGTGCAAAGGGAGGTGGAGATTTTTTTAGGCGCTTATATATGATGTGATGTGGAACAGATTCTCAACACCGTGTTCCTGTAACGAACGGACAGGGAGAACAGGGAAGAGGAGAGTGGGAGGAACGGATTGGATAAGAGGAATGGAGTGAGTGGGGGCAGTAGTCGAGAAAGACGTGGCAGAACGGAGTGGGGGAATGAAGGGGGAAAGCGGGGTGAGGGAACGAAATGGGGACGTGGAGTGGGGGAAATGGAGTGGGGAAGTGGAGTGAGAAAATGGAGTGGGGGAATGGAGTGGGGGAATGTAGTGGGGGAATAGGGTGCGAAAATGGAGTTGGGAGAGGGAGAGCGGCAAAGCGAATATAGCTGGGCTTGAGGGGCCCACCCCACCCACCTTTAGGAGAGAGATGGGAGAAATGAAAGCGAGCAGGCCGCTGATAGACGAGTGGGAGGGGACTGCCCTACCGGGCCCCAACTACCGCTGATAGTGATGATGGGTGTACTGATGGTGAGCACATGGATCGACCAACTGACCAACTGACTAACGCAACCATCGCTGGGCCCACCTTGAGGAGGGCAATGGGAGCAATGAAGGCGAGTGGGCCGCTGATTGACGTGTGGGAGGGGGGGGACCAACCTACAGTCCCCGACTACCGCTGATAGTGATGATGGGTGTACTGATGGTGAACACATGGATCGACCAACTGACCAACTGACTGACAGAAGCATCACCGAGCCCAGCTTGAGGAGGGTGATGGGGGCAATGAAGGCGAGCGGGCCGCTGATAGACGCATCCAGTGTGAGAATGAGAACGAGGATGGATCAACTATGAATGAAGTGAGTACATATAGGAAACCCTAATTGGGTTGTACCCCCTATGGGATACCCCACTATAGCCTACACAACAGCATAAGCTATAATGTTCTGACACACCCCCATAGGCAAAGTGGGGGAGAACAAGGGGTCACAAGACCTGTCAAGGAAAGCAAAGCAAAGCAAGCTCAGGGTGGATCACAAAGTCACCACACAGTCCGAGCACAAGATCAAGGCCACAAGGCCAGTTCACAGGCAAGAGTACACACATATATATAAAGCTATACAAGCAAGAGCAGGTATATATATATTTGAGAGTACAAGCAAGGTCAAGAGGAGAGCAAGTGAGGCAAGACGAGCACAAGACCCAGCTGAGTGCAGAAGCGCTGATGATCACAAGGCGCAAGTGCCTTGGTGAAGACATCAGCAGTGTTGGCCTCAGAGGCTACGTACGCAAGCCGCAACTGTCCACGCTGCTGTAGCTCACGAGCAAGGAAGTAGCGGAGAGCAATGTGCTTTGTTCTGTGCTCCAGTCGCTGCTCTTGACACAAGGCGAGCATGGCCTTGTTGTCTACGTACAGGACTGGAGGAGAACGAGGCGGCTCTCCAAGGTCGGTCAGCAGGTAGGTGAGCCAGCGAAGCTCCTGTGCAGCCATGGCCCCGACGTAGATCTCAGCCTCACAACTGAAGCCGAGAACAGAAGACGAGCGAGTAGCCCGCCACGAAACAGAGCCGGAACCAAGGCTGAAGGTGTAACCCTGTGACGACCGCTGCGTAGCCTGGTCGTCAGCCCAAGAAGCGTCCGCGTGCCCAGTGAGGACCACTGGACTCCGCCCTCCAAGCACTAGCCCCATGCTCGACGTACTGCACAAGTAGCGCAACACCCTCTTCGCTGCAGCCATGTGCTCTGGTCGGTGTCTCCCAGGAACAACATAGCGTGCGAGAATGCTAAGAGGGTATGCAAGGTCAGGACGTGTGCAGGTCATCAGGTACATGAGGCAGCCAACAAGCTCTAGGTACGGGCCACTCGACTCAACGGACTCATCCGAAGGCAGAGCTGAGAACGAGTGGCGAGTAGGCAGAGGAGTGGCCTGAGGCGAGGAGTACGTTAAGCCAAAGCGCTGAAGGACCTGCTGCACCATGTGTGACTGAGTCAGGGTAATGGTGCGGCGTGCTCTGTCCCGGGTGATCTGCAAGCCAAGGTAGCTGCGCAGTTCACCCAGGTTTGTGCACGTGTGTCTCTTCTGCAACTCGGACTTCACGTAGGCGAGTCCAGCAGTGTCAGCTGTGGCAAAGACCAAGTCGTCGACGCACACGAGGATGTAGAACGGCGGCAGAGAGGTGTCGGTGCGCAGAAACAGCGACGGGTCGGCAGTAGAAGGAGCAAACCCAAGAGCCGCAAGCGTAGTCCTCAGTGTGTCGTGCCACTCACGTGGCGCCTGGCGGAGACCGTAGACTGGACGCCGGAGACTCCACTGGGTACCAGGAGGGAAAGACCCAGTGAAGCCAGGTGGGCGACGCAGCCAGATCTCCTCGTGTAGGCTGCCCTACAAGAAAGCTGTGCTGAAGTCGAAAGAGTGCAGCTCGTAGTCACGGTGAGCAGCAACGTGCAGCAGTACCCGAAGAGTGGTCATCTTCGGGGTGGGGGAGAAGGTCTGAAAGTAGTCAACTCCCTGCCGCTGACTGAAGCCACGAGCCACGTAACGCGCCTTGAAGACAGGCGGAGAACCCGGCGGCCGCTTCACCCTGAAGATCCACATGCCACTGACGATGTTCGCCCCAGGAGGGGGGACAGCGTCAACGTAGGTGCCTGTGGACTTCCAGGAAGCCATCTCTGCATCCATAGCTACCTGCCACTGAGAGGAGTAGGGACCCTCTATCGCCTCCGCGTAAGAGCGCGGAGTCGGGATGTCAAGTGCATCAGGGTCTCCCTAAGGGGTAAGCAGTACGGACACGAGATGAGGTGAAGCAGCTGCCAGACACTCGAACTCCTCCTGCCTGTCCTCAAGGACGTCCGTGGCAAGAGCACACTCACCCAAGACGGACGGAGGACAGACAGACTCAGACTCAGCGACAAGACTAGCAGCGTAGTCTAGGCGACAGCGAGCAGCAAAGTCGACGAGCTCAGTAACGAGGGCAGACGCAGCAGTGGACTCGAAAGAAGGGTCAGTGACGACAGTAGCAAAGAGACGCGTGACAGTGGGACTGGCAGCACGAAGAGAGTCCGACTCCGGGTCGGCAAGAGCAGGAAGAGAGGACTCAAGAGGAGAAGGCAAAGGGGCATGCATAGACATCTGGTGCGTGCCAGGGACAGGAGGAGGACGCTCACGCGAACTACGACCACTAGCGCAAGAAGGACGGACAGGCGACGTAGGGCGAGACGCAGGCTCACGACGCTCAGCAAGACCTCCAGTAGGACCAGTGTAGGGAGAAGGAGCAGGCAAAGGGGAGGTAGGTTGCAGCTGTAACTGTGACTGGACAGGCTGCGGACACTCTACAGGAGGAGGAGGACCAGTAGAAGGTGGAAGACCAAGAACCTGCTGCAGGAGTGGAACGAAGTACGGTCGAGGCCGCGTGGCAACGCTAGAAGCAGCAGGGACAGCACTAGTACCCTCAGTAGGAGCACCCGCTCCAGCAGCACCTCCAGCAGCTCCAAAACCTCCAGCAGCACCAGGAGCACCCCCAGCAGGACCGCCAGCGGTAGTCTCAGCGCCAACACCCTCAGCAGCACCAGCTCCAGTCAAACCCGCAGGCCCAGCAGCTCCATTACTCCCAGTACGAGCACCTCCGGGACCCGCGACCGCAGCACCCTCAGCAGCCGAAGAACCTCCAGCACCAGCAGTACGACGCCAGCGCCGGGCAAACCACTCGCGCAGCTCCTGTGGAGACAGTGGCTCCCGGCCAGACGAAGCACCCGGAGAACCTCCAGGCGGAGCACCTCCACACGCAGTACCCCCAGGCGTAGCACCCTCAGGCTCAGCACCCCCAGGCGTAGCACCCC